GGGGGGGGTGTATTAGTTAGCCATTGGCTTACAGTTCTAGTTGTTAAAGGTTGTGAGGTCGCATCACCAAGCATTACGAACTCGCTCCCTTGAAATAAAAGTCACTGCCCGTTAATAAGTAGCTTACCATGCAAGGTTTTTTTTAAATTTTCTAGTTATTAATTACAACTTATTAGTTGAACTAAAGTGATTCCGAGACAGAATAATTGTTTTTCATTTGACAATAGAATTTTCCATTGGAAACAGACATCATTTGTTTAGTTATGTGATTTTGTTATTTGATAGTCACACCATACATGTGCGAGCTGCAGTGTGTGGTGAATGAAATATAAGTGATATGAATAAGAATGTAAGTTTATATAATTGTCTGATAATGATTTTATTCCGATAGCACTTGTCTAAATTTCATAATTACGAACATATTCTGTCTATATAACTGTTACACATCTACCCTAAATGCAGTCAACCCAGATTTTTTTTTTTTTTTTGGGGGGGGGTCTCAGATCTAGAAAAATTAAGAAAGTCAATTCTAAACATTCTATTTGTTCCAATGTGGTGCTGTGTGACCGAGAAAATATCCGAAAATTTGTTAAAATACTGATTTTTTTTTTTAGTTAAAATATGATTGTTTGACCGTAATCCGTATCATCCCAGTTTGTAAATGAACGTAATCTGTATCATACATACCATCTGATGAGTCATTGGCCAAGACATGTGTTGGGTGAAATTAGTTAAATTAAATGGTTATTACATTCAAATCTCCACAAAGCTGTATGTAAACTGATGTCCGTATATATAAAGGATTATTCAGTCAAAACCAATTTAATCTAAAACAATAAATATTGATATAGCAGCTTCAGACATACGTATAGCATATAGACTGAGTTACAATGGTAAGTTTTCAGTATTTTTACAAGAAAGCGGAAAAATACTTCTCACACTCTTCCATCATGGGAGCATTTTACTCTGCCGTAAGCAGTATTTGGCACAAAACTAACGTTTTGCTCCGATGTAATCCAAACAGCAGTATTACTCTGATGTAAGTGAAATAGCGAGTATGGGGGTTACCCCCGTGTTGCTACATACATATGTATATGTCATCTTAAACAGAATGCTTGCATGTTAAATCTCTTTTAGTTTCCATGCATAATAATAATAATAATTTATTTTATTGAAGTATCACATATCAATTCATAATTTTAAAACAAAATTGATGTAATTAATATCCGGCGAAATTGACCTATGAGACACTATGCATATGGCCCTTTATTTGTCTATATAATGTCTACTGTACATTAATAGATTAAAGTCATGCTGTTGAGGTAAATATGTGAATAACAGGCTGAATGTACTAGTATTTTCTCATTTGAAGGAGAAAACTTTTACACTATACAAGACATGGTCTGTAAAAATACCACACTGTATTTTTTTTAATGAAAATTTTGAGATCCTATGATAAAATTAACAACAAACTTTATTGCCAGAGTGTGAAGATTTAGTATAATATGACATTGCCACCAATCAAACACACTTTCTGCTGGATTGTAAGTTAATTATCTTCTCCAGCATTACGTGATGACATTTATCAGAGTAATCATCTTTCCCTGAGAGGAAGTGACCAGCACTAAATATGAATGTTTCCTCAGGTACATCACAGATGAGGCCTTATTCCTGTCTGTAGTACAATGTGAGTGCAAAACGAGGCAGAACCAGACATTCTCAAGTTTTCATCCAGGAAATATTGTCTAGTTCGCCAAGACTCTTCACTTTCCAAGGTGAATTCTGTACAAATCAAAATTTCAATGAAATGATTTCTGATTATGTTGTCTTTAGTTTCAGTTCTCATTTTCTTTATAGTGACCATATCATCCGAACATGGAATTGTGCAGCTCTTCCACTTCGTATTCTCTTTGTTTTGCTCTAGCCTGAAAACAATAAAAATTTAAGATGTGAATGGTAAAGCCAATTATTCAAATATATTGAGTCTGCATGAAGCTTTACTACAAAGGGCAGATAGACAGTGAAAGGAAGAGTGGACTGTAGACATAGGGAGGGAAGGTGGATACAGAATGTGAGGAAGGGTGGATACACTATGGGAGGGTGACTGATGGTGGAAAGAGGGTGGATATGTTATGGGAGGGTGACTGATGGTGGAAAGAGGGTGGATATGTTATGGGAGGGTGACTGATGGTGGAAAGAGGGTGGATATGTTATGGGAGGGTGACTGATGGTGGAAAGAGGGTGGATATGTTATGGGAGGGTGACTGATGGTGGAAAGAGGGTGGATATGTTATGGGAGGGTGACTGATGGTGGAAAGAGGGTGGATATGTTATGGGAGGGTGACTGATGGTGGAAAGAGGGTGGATATGTTATGGGAGGGTGACTGATGGTGGAAAGAGGGTGGATATGTTATGGGAGGGTGACTGATGGTGGAAAGAGGGTGGATATGTTATGGGAGGGTGACTGATGGTGGAAAGAGGGTGGATATGTTATGGGAGGGTGACTGATGGTGGAAAGAGGGTGGATATGTTATGGGAGGGTGACTGATGGTGGAAAGAGGGTGGATATGTTATGGGAGGGTGACTGATGGTGGAAAGAGGGTGGATATGTTATGGGAGGGTGACTGATGGTGGAAAGAGGGTGGATATGTTATGGGAGGGTGACTGATGGTGGAAAGAGGGTGGATATGTTATGGGAGGGTGACTGATGGTGGAAAGAGGGTGGATATGTTATGGGAGGGTGACTGATGGTGGAAAGAGGGTGGATATGTTATGGGAGGGTGACTGATGGTGGAAAGAGGGTGGATATGTTATGGGAGGGTGACTGATGGTGGAAAGAGGGTGGATATGTTATGGGAGGGTGACTGATGGTGGAAAGAGGGTGGATATGTTATGGGAGGGTGACTGATGGTGGAAAGAGGGTGGATATGTTATGGGAGGGTGACTGATGGTGGAAAGAGGGTGGATATGTTATGGGAGGGTGACTGATGGTGGAAAGAGGGTGGATATGTTATGGGAGGGTGACTGATGGTGGAAAGAGGGTGGATATGTTATGGGAGGGTGACTGATGGTGGAAAGAGGGTGGATATGTTATGGGAGGGTGACTGATGGTGGAAAGAGGGTGGATATGTTATGGGAGGGTGACTGATGGTGGAAAGAGGGTGGATATGTTATGGGAGGGTGACTGATGGTGGAAAGAGGGTGGATATGTTATGGGAGGGTGACTGATGGTGGAAAGAGGGTGGATATGTTATGGGAGGGTGACTGATGGTGGAAAGAGGGTGGATATGTTATGGGAGGGTGACTGATGGTGGAAAGAGGGTGGATATGTTATGGGAGGGTGACTGATGGTGGAAAGAGGGTGGATATGTTATGGGAGGGTGACTGATGGTGGAAAGAGGGTGGATATGTTATGGGAGGGTGACTGATGGTGGAAAGAGGGTGGATATGTTATGGGAGGGTGACTGATGGTGGAAAGAGGGTGGATATGTTATGGGAGGGTGACTGATGGTGGAAAGAGGGTGGATATGTTATGGGAGGGTGACTGATGGTGGAAAGAGGGTGGATATGTTATGGGAGGGTGACTGATGGTGGAAAGAGNTGACAGATTGTGGTAAGAGGGTGGATACACTATGGGAGGAAGGGTGACAGATTGTGGTAAGAGGGTGGATACACTATGGGAGGAAGGGTGACAGATTGTGGTAAGAGGGTGGATACACTATGGGAGGAAGGGTGACAGATTGTGGTAAGAGGGTGGATACACTATGGGAGGAAGGGTGACAGATTGTGGTAAGAGGGTGGATACACTATGGGAGGAAGGGTGACAGATTGTGGTAAGAGGGTGGATACACTATGGGAGGAAGGGTGACAGATTGTGGTAAGAGGGTGGATACACTATGGGAGGAAGGGTGACAGATTGTGGTAAGAGGGTGGATACACTATGGGAGGAAGGCCTAGGGTGACAGATTTGAGAGAATAAGACAGATTGTGGGAGAAAGAATAGGCCGACTTACTTTGTGTTTTTTGTATGCTTCATAATCAGGATCATCGGTAGGTAATTCATGACGACACAGAGGACAGCTGTTCACCTGTAAATATTAGAGCTTATTTATTTATTATAATTCGTCCATCTTACCTTCATTATCTAACATTGCTTTGGTTCTGTTTTATAGATGGTATTCAAGACCATAGACAGCAATTTATTCAAAAGTGTAATTAATTTATTACCAGCGTAGCAGTTAACAGTATTACACTTTTAAAACTGTTATTTATTCATCTGAATCAAACTATCACATCTGATGATAATTTTTCCATTTTTCATCATTGATAACACAGAACTTTTGTCCTATATCAGTGTATCACATTGACTCTGGAAGCATAATGTACAGATCTGTCTGTCTATATTAAATTTCACCTTCTCCAGCCAGGGCAGTATACATTTGGAGTGGAACTTGTGGCCACATGGCATTTCTCGAAGTTCATCCTCCTCATCAAACAGACCCAGACAAACAGGACATTTCTTCTCCAGGGCTGAAATGTTATGTAACAACACTGTAGTTGTCTACTTTGACTTTCTATCGTTAATTTATACACAAAGTCCATATGACTTTTTTTCCTATAAAACAGCGTTATTTTTTACGATAAACTTACATAGTAAATACATTAACACTTTGATTTATAAACGAATGCTTTTTGCCAAGAGATGATTCAAACACTATTAAAATAAGGTAAAATCTGTTCAGTATCAAGAACTATATTCCCTTTTAGTTCATCCCTTTGATCCAAGGATGCTTTATACCAAGTTTTAATTTTTCCCAGATGGATCATTTCCAAAAGGAGCCAAAAAAATGAATTGCTTTGCCCAATGATCATTCTGATTAAATCTTATTTATTTATAAGTTGACAGACTGAGAGATGGATATTCAGTGCCATGCCAATGCTAAGTATAAACGGTGTCAGGTCGTTTCGATAACAAGACGGAAGTCGTTTCGGGACCTTTTTCCGGGTCGTTTCGGGAGTGTCAAAAGTCGTTTCAGGACATCTCAATTATTTTCTACTGTTTGTTTAGCACACGTGTTTATGTTTGTTTTGTTTACTTTTTAATTGAGTAATTTTCGAAATTTCAGCAAAACAAACAGTAAGCTCTTTGATTTCCTCATTTTAACTTAGGTTTACAAAAAAAACAAAAACGTTTGGAGATGTTCCAGATCCGAGTACCTCAGTGAGGAGATCACTGTTTTCATAGTTTCAACAATGAGGGTTACAAAAACACACCCTACTAGTCTATATTGTAAAATTTGATACTTTTTATATGCAGAATTTACTGTCAAATTAGTACTTCTGTAAAAAGGGAAACTTGATCAAGTTGGCAGCATTAAATAGGGAAAAGAGTAAAACGAAAACATGTTATCACGATATCAAACAAGGAACCTTAAATAACGAATGAAATTATGTAAAAATAATTGATTGATTAATTGATATTGACCGCGCGTTCGGTTCGGTACTTGGTGTTCGTTCCTCTCTAATTAATAATGGGATTAGTTTAATCAAATTAACAACATGTTGTCAATCAGGTTAATGTTGGCAGGTACCCCCTTCAGCAATCTAAGCGTGGCGCTAATTGGCAAAACTAAATCCCAAGCATGGGTAGGTTGAAGCCGCCATATGCGTACTCTTGTGTACACATAGATCGTGATGTCATTGCTGAAAGGCTACAACGAAAGCTGTGTTTACACAGATTTTTACGAAATGGGAAAGAGAAATGGAACTTGTAACATTCATTTATATTTTGATTGTTTTTTTTCTATGTCCCGAAACGACTTGAGTAAGTCCCGAAACGACTTAATTTTGTCCCGAAACGACTTCTGGACTCCCGGGCCAAAACCACTTGTTACCGAAACGACTAGCATTCGTATAAACAATCTAACTTGGCTTTTGATCAAGTGTTTTCACTGGTACTTTGTTTAATCCACATTAACATGTTTATTGGTCACAGTGACTTGCCCGCCTCTGCAGGTGTTACAAGATGAGTAGGTAGTGATTCTACAACTTTCTTTGAAGCAGGTGGAATTTTTCCCTCTCCTCCAAAAACCCTGCAAAATACAATGAAATAAAAATACTTACATTAAACACTGAACATTGTGCAATTTTTCTAAGACTCATACACACTTCTGCAAAGCATAATTTTTCTGGGCTCACTTTGTATTTTAACTCAATTGTTATTACATTCTTTCCTACTTTAGTACAATTGGGGGATTGAAGAACTTTCGAATGCTTCATTACAATTGAAACTCCTATATAAGTTTCCAACAAACATTTCGTTAAAGATCACTAAAAAATAACAGAGGTTCTCCTTTTAAAGGAGGGAAGTCTTGAACAGAACATATAACTGGGAATTATGTTTGGCACAATCACTGATCTACTCTGAACTTGCTGAAACTTAGGTACATATATATTCACAATCGCTTCCATTGTAAAATTACCTGCCATATTCTAAATCCCATTCAGCTGCCATTCCACTGTCCAGGAGAAGTCTGAAACACGACATGTAAACCTACTTGTAATTTATATCTTTTGTTAATATCTGGTGTCATATTTAGGAAAGAAAAAGACAGAAAGAGTTCATTTCAGCCTTAAATACCGAGTACATTGATTAGCAAGTCCAATCGTCCTCAAATTTATCTGCTCTGTACCCAAAATCTGTAAATATTTTTAAAAAATAATTCTGATGAATTAATCAAAACGGTTTGATAGTCAAATAACTAATTAATAGAAGCAGATCTAGGACAACCTGATATTTACCCCGAAAAAGTATCAAATGTCATTTCTGGGCGGTCACAACTGTAAAATATTCTGTAAACAGGTAAATATTACCTTGCCATGTGTAACATGTGATTAGGTTGTTCTCCATCTTTTAAAGGTTCGCAATCATGCTCATCAAAATAAGACGCCATTATACACTGATGATTTCTGTGAATCTGAGAACAAACTCTCCTTATTGCTCCTGTCTCCGGCTTCTGATGATTCTAGATCTTTTTGTATTAACAGTCATCACAAACCGGAAGTGTTGCTGTAAGGAAAAGTGCGTTCGTTTTGACTTTTTCATATTACCGTAGTTACAAGTTATCTCCCTTATATTATATATCTTAGCTAATAATAGTTATGGTAAAACAATAGAAAACAAATGGGTTATATTTTTATTAGTTTAAACATATTTTATTGTACAAATATACAAATGGATCGGACTACAAGTTATTACAACTTAATAGAGTCCTCTTCTCAATACATATTGTAAAAAAAGTGTATATGTTTTTGGGGAAAGGGAAAAGATAGGTTGAGGAAGGAAGGAACTGTGGGGTGGGAGGGGGTGATGGAGGGGAGGGGTGTTACCTAGAAAATTAAAACTTGTAAACTGAGAAATTGATCCGCATTTGAATCAATAATAAATTATACAGATTTCATGACATGCATCCTGGTAGAGTACTTTCAAAATGAACAGACTCAATGTAACAAATAAATCAGGCAAAATAATGAAATACAATTTCATAAACACATATAACAACTTAAATAAGAATAGAAAATTAATTGTTACTATCAAAACCTATTGCTGGATTTGATGTAATGATGCACATGTCTGAAGATACTTATGTTGTTTACTTATGTTGTTTTCTACCGAAAGTTGACTATTTCCAAACAAAAGTAGTTCTAAATTCTAAATTAAAATCAACATGCAAGGCATTCAAATTTAGGAGCAGGGTATGTCTTTCGTTGTTAAAAAGTAAGCACTCACAAAAAAAGTGAAAGGCATTTTCACAGGGATGGCCACAATAACAACATATTTTTATTTAATGGGGTACAGTGATTTTGACACAAACAAAAAAAGTTATTTTCATCTACTCTGGTACACCGCAAACTCAATTTCTCCTGTACGTTCATGTAGAAATACAGTGTATCATTGCTCAATTTAAATTGATTGGTTTGTAGATTATTACAATTGTATGCATAGCAATACACAACCCATTGATATACACCAGTATTCTATTTGGAACAAATCTGGTTAAAAATATTAGTTTACAAACCTTAATTCGAACTTTAAAGAATTGACAAAAAATACTAAAAAGGCAGAATATGAAAACAGGAAATATTTACAGGAATGCCCTTAAAATAAAAAGGAGAATAATATCAGATGTTTCAGAAGTGTAAGCGTCTTCTGCTTCTTAAGCAAATCCAAGTAATATCACGCCCTCAAAGTGAGAACCGAGGCAGTGACTGTGGGTGTAGGAGTTCAAACAGGTGAACTTATCTGTTCAACTTACCTAATGAAACCCAAGCACATTTTTATCCGTACTTTTTTCGTAAACTTTTCTTTTTTTCCCTTTTTTCTTCTGATTAATTGTTGTCATAGTGATATTAAGCAGGATAAGCTATCCTATATTGAAGTAATTAAAACACATTTTGCCTTCCTCTCCATGTTACTTCTTTACATTTTGGAATACACATTATTCTTTATTATTTATAAGATTTTAAAATAAATTTTAAGTATTTCTTCATTTTTCAATTTGAAATATCTTATTCTCCCGTGAATAACTTGTGTAAAAACGTCCGAGTTTCCATCACATCTGTTACGCCTTAACATTTTTGAATTTGTGCCATTTGCACTAAATACATATACATGTATCTAATTATTTGAATACATTCAGCATAGGTTGATGTGTGTGTGTGTGTGTGTGTGTGTGTGTGTGTGTGTTTTTAATGAAAGCGATAATTTTGCATGCAAAGTCAGTTTAAAATAACATTTTGATACTATTTATCACTGTTATTATTTTTTTGTCCTAGTTGAAAAAAATATCCCCTTCAAAATTCAGTCTACACAAGTACTGTACATGTACGTATCAAAATGTGTCGCAACACTTCAAAACGAATGGTGCCTAAGTGAATACCTGTACAAATAAGATACAGCCTTCCCTTCCTCTAAACTAGTGGTCCGGGCTGGCGGCCTACTCCCACTAGGAAACTAATGGTGCCTAAGTGAATACCTGTACAAATAAGATACAGCCTTCCCTTCCTCTAAACTAGTGGTCCGGGCTGGCGGCCTACTCCCACTCGGAAACTATAATTCTTCTGTTTAAGACTTTCGTGAGTAAGACACCGTTTGATGAACAGAAAGAAGTGACAGAAAGCACGCTTACCCAATTACCTTTCTTATTTCTGTAATAGGAGATGGAAACTGGTACGGCCAGCCCGGGGTACAAACCTGGGACCTCCACACTCTAGACGGTCGCACGAACCACAGGGACCTGCTATTTTGTTACAGCTATATTGGGACCTAAACTAAGGTGTTCATCGTAATTTTACATGTTTTAGGGGTTTATATCGACATTCGGTAATAATGACACCCCAATGATCATACAATGTATATACGAGAAAGGCGGAAAACTCTCGATGTCGAAATGTCGACCCCACCTAACTTTCTTGCATCAAAAACAACATTTCTAGTTAATGCTCAGTCTTTTAAAAACCTACTATATGCACCCCAAAAAAATGTATTCACCTTCCGCGGACATGAACTCTGTTTCCTCCAAAAACACACGCCTTTTCAGAGTTTCAAAGTTTTTCGCAGTCAGCCTGCCACTTTTTTTTAAATTTTTAATGAGGTTGACGTCAGCGCGTGCTGAAACATGCAATGTTGGTTGGTTTAGCGAAAAAAAAGGCTGCACTTCCAGCCAATCACACCACAGGTCTCGGCACGTGGCTATGAGTGCCATGAACAGATTGTTGGAGTCATCATAATTATTAACATGAGATGGAAGATACACGGCCAGACCGGGTTTCGAAGCAAAAGCTGTAGACGGGACAATCTGTAGGAGCTATTGGTTTGATTTTTTTAGTACCCAATAATTTCATTTGTCGAACTTGAAACAAATAGATATGTAAAATTAAGTGAGCTGAACTACAAGGCATAACCACACTATTTTCAGTGATTTTGCGCAAGTTGCCAATTTTGGATTACTAGTAATGAGTAATGTAAAGGTTGATGTTGAGATTTCATCATATTTCTATGAAAAAAGGCTATTGGTTATATCAGTAAATCCACCCTCTTATTGGCTACATTGTAGCCGTTTGAAACAAAAAAAGGAAGGTTGGGTACAAGAGTCTATGGAAATTATCGCATGCTATAAAACAGCGAAACGGAAGTCAATTTTCAGTTTTGTAAATGATCACTTCTGTACATTTATAGATTATGTCGTCATAATGCCATTTTCTAATAACCCTGATTGCTCTTCATTTCTCTCTCTCATATGAGATGTTAGACCAATTTTAAAGCAAGGCATTTTTCTGTGGAGCGGCGTTGTTTGTAACATTGACTCTCATGCCCAGTTCGTCCATCAAATGCTCTGTCGGGGAAAAAACGAGAATATATGGAAGATAGGAAGAGCGGCAAATTCTGTTTTCCCATACCCTTCCTGAGTAACATTCACCATAATATGTTGGCGACTTTCATGCATACTTCTGCCGCTTTGTGTTGGAGAGTTCCTTCTGACGGCAGACAATCATACCTTGTCAAGTTTTCAGTAAGTCCAAAGAAATACAACATGTTTCGTCTCCTATTACGTTTTCCAGAAGCCTTCGTTTGCAAGTACATGTATACACGGGTTTTCAGAACCTTCTTTGGTTTCCCCTTTTTAATCCCTCTACTAATAGCTCAAATATGCAATGTCAATGTAGTTTTGATCTTCTATTCCATGCACCCAGATACCATGGGAAATGTCAGATACTTTGGTTATCTCGTTTATTGTTAAACGGTCATATTTCTCTATAAAAGGTCCGAGTCACTGTTTCAGAAGACGGTTGAGTAATACATGACCTTGGTCCACTTGTATAGAAATAACACACTTATCAAAATACTCCAACACACGACAAACTGTTCTCAATGACCATCAAATATCATCTTAGCTGGTCATTAATGTTAAAGGATCATTTGTGGTCGGTATATGAACCAAATAAAAAAAAGTTACAATTTGTTCGGCATTGTTTTCCTATGGCAAAGATTATTATTCGAAATGACTTGATTACTATAATTTTGTATGTTACAAACACAGCCACGAAGATTAGCTCCACCGATCTCTTTATTATAAACCAGAGCACCTTTTTGCCTAAAACTGCAACATGTTTATTGCTACAGCAAATAGGGCTATCAGGTTGGTGCTCCAATAATTCTTCACAAAAACTGCAAGAAACGTTTTTAGAACGTTACCGATTCTGATATTTGTAAAATACTTTTTCCACATCATAACGGGTAATAATTTCATTATTTCTTTGAATATACATCAGATACGAACTTAATGGGAAAATAACTTTTCAGACCTGTACACAGTAGGGAGGCGACATGACTACCTTTATGACTCGATATTGGGCCAGAAACAATTTTTGGTATACTGTACGCCTTCGCGTGCTTTACCTAAACAGGTTTGTTTTAACTTCCGTCTCGAATATGGGGTTGCACTGGTTGAACACTGTGAAATGCTTTGGGTGGTATCTTGAAAATTGTTCACATTTATTACGTATAATTTTTACATAAATGCAGATCGATTGATGAATATAATGATAGAAGAAGATAATGCAGATATGTCGAATCGTGTAGACATGACGACGATCTTTTGAAAGTTTTGAGAAACGCAAATCGTTGAAGAAAAGAGCTAAAACGCCAAACAAAACTGCCGCAAAAATAACCAACAAGGTCACTGCACAGTCCCTAAATGTAATTTGATTTTTTTCGACAGTCAAACTCTGATTCTGCTTTAAAAAAACGCAACTTAAACGGTGAAAAAACTGCAAACTCGAATGTGCCGTTGGACCCGGCGAAACTGTGTGTCTGAATCACGTTACTCCTTGGGCAGGACCGATCACATGGTCCCGGGAGCCGGACCGATTACATGGTCCCGGGAGCCGGACCGATAACATATGTGGTCCAAGACTACATCTCGTCTAGCTGCAATCACTATTCAATGACTCGACCATAATAATTGTCCTTCCATATTTATAGGTAATAAAAGAATCTATTGTACGTACAGATATTGGTTTTATAATGGGAATTACCTTCGCTGAAATCAAATTTGCACTTACAATGGCCAAATGCTACAGGGTTTTCTTGGAATATTAACGCATGTCTCCAAGAGATCCGGTAAAATGTATGTTTTGGAAAGATAGTAGACATTCAAATAGCATGTATATGTCTTTGATTGGTTCTGTTGGTGACGTACGGTAATACCTATATATGTACATGTAGCCACTACAGCGCGGTGTTTGATTTCAGTGGAGAAACCATTCCCATTCCGAAACCAATAACTATAGATACATTGGATTTCTTTAAAATTAAATGGAACAGCGAAAGCCGTCATTTGACTGTAGAAGAGGCCCTCTAGTTATCGATCGACGTGGGGCGGCCACATCTGGGCGGCTCAATATTGGTACATGCTTTTGTTCGCATTTCTAGGTTCGATCGATTGTCGGTCGTGTCGGGAAGCTTGTTAGCGCGGAGGCTGCTGGAATGTCACTCCCGCCTGGTCGCCTTGGTGGGATCCACATCGCCCAGGTTTCCCTGTGAGAACGTAACCAGCCCAATCCTGTCGTACTTATTCTGACAAAACACAACATGTACAAAGTCAAAAGTCGCTCTGTGAATCCAGGCAACTGTGCTTCCACATAGCTACACAGGAAGTGAAGCCCTGCACGACTGTGTTCACGGCTAGACGGTGCCAATGATATCTGTTGCTGGGCATAACTAGTGGGCCTATCGGCTGTCCGACTTTGTGACTACCATTGAATGAACCAGGATAAAACTGAATCCGACATTGTTTGCTCCATGTGATTGTAAAATTTAGCTGAAGTGATCCTTGTAGGAACATGGGCGGAACAACGACCAGGTATGTGTGCTCTTATTATGTACCGTATTATTATATTATACTCTACAAATGTGAAATGAAGTACAAGTGCATATGTCCTGCCTTAACCCGCACTATGTACAAGTATGAAGTAGGGGTCTTTTGATATCCCGTACCGAAACCAGTACCTAGTGGGGATATCTCCATTACCCCTGTCCAAGCGCTGAACCCAGTGGGATATCATCTTTACACTGGTCCGTACGCTGTACCTAGTCGGGCTATCTCCATTACCTTGGTTCATACTCTGGACCTAAATGAGATATTTCCGTTACCCTGGTCCGTACTCTGTAACTAGAATGGATGCCTCTTTTATCCCGGTCCGTACGCTGTACCTATTGAGGCTGCCCCTCTTACACTGGTTCTTACTCTATACCATGTGTATGTTTCTCCATTACCCGGTATGTACTTTGTAACTAGTTGGAATATCTCCATTATCCCGGTCCGTACGCTGTACCTATTGAGGCTGCCCCACTTACACTGGTTCTTACTCTATACCATGTGTATATTTCTCCATTACCCGGTATGTACTTTGTAACTAGTTGGAATATCTCCATTATCCTGGTCCGTACGGTACGTTGTACCTAGCGAGGCTGTCTCACTTTCCCATGAACGCACTATGTGCATTTCCATTAGCCCGGCCCTCACGCTGTGCCTAGTTGAAATATCTTCATTATCCATTTCAGTACTCTGTAACTAATGGAGATATATCCGTCATTCTAGTCTGCATTCTGTAACTGGTAGATTGATCTCAATTACCCTGGTCAAGTTACCCCCGTTACATTGTTACTTGCGTATATATCTCCATTACCGCGTATCGTTCTACATGTATGTACCTAGTGGTGATATCTCCATTACTCTGGTCCGTGCTCTGTCCCTAGTGGTGATATCTCCATTACCCTTGTCCGTGCTTTGTACCTAGTGGGGATATCTCCATTACTCTGGTCCGTGCTCTGTCCCTAGTGGTGATATCTCCATTACCCTTGTCCGTGCTTTGTACCTAGTGGTGATATCTCCATTACCCTTGTCCGTGCTTTGTACCTAGTGGTGATATCTCCATTACCCTTGTCCGTACTTTGTACCTAGTGGGGATATCTCAATTACCCCTGTCCGTACTTTGTACCTAGTGGGGATATCTCAATTACCCCTGTCCGTACTTTGAACATTGTGGTGATATCTCCATCAGCCCGGTCCGTGCTCTGTACCTAGTGGTGATATCCCCATTAGCCCGGTCTGTGCTTTGTACCTAGTGGTGATATCTCCATTAGCCCGGTCCGTGCTCTGTACCTAGTGGTGATATCTCCATTAGCCCGGTTCTTGCTTTGTACCTAGTGGTGATATCTCCATTTCTCTGGTCCTAATCAAACTCATTACGTCGTAGTACTTTGCATTCATATGTGTCGTTATGTAATCAAACACATGAAGTTATGGTTCCTTGCAATTTGATACGTCTGACGTATCATTAGCCATCAGATACGCCTTTAATATATCAGGACTGCTTATTATAGCTATACCAAAAGATGCCAGGGAATAGGACGGTACCGTTGATGATTCAAACAGGATTGCTTTTATTATTCTGTCTGTCTTAAAATATTCCCAATCGATTCCTTATTCAAAACGTAACTAATGTAAGATTGGAAATATCCATCTTCTATACTTTCTAAAGATATGATCGTGATTGTGACGTCACACTAAAACAACCTGATGGCAAGACAATGTATGCATAATCGATGCAACAGACGGGTTACCGATGACCTCTACTACATTGTAATTATGCAAGAGAGTAAAAGAAAGTGTTACTATTGAGGAAAATATTCCAAGAAAGAATATAACAGTGTGAAAATAAACACCAATACATACATAAAGCCAATGTTCATCTGGTTAAATCAATATGAAAAAAGAGTTCAACTTATTTAAAACCTACACATCATAACGTTACCTGAAAATCCAACATGTTATAACGTCATAATACATTGAAATAAAACACTTCATTACGTTTCCAAACCATGTAACATAACACATGGCTACGTCACAGAACGTTTCCATCTAAAACATCGTTACATCATAGGTAAAATTATACAACCGAGGTATGTATTATTTCACATTTTTCAATTACAATATGTTTGATTTGATTACTTTGATCAAACAACGGGAAAATAAAACATCGAGTCTCGAGCCTCACGCGCTCGAGTTTCCCCTGTGATATTTCGCGGAACTACTCTAGAAATATAGACAAGGTTCACCACAACCGAGTTCCTAGTGACTAAAGCTGACACCATTGTCGTGTCAACCTAACCATATCTACTGTTGTGTAATTGTTTTATTTCGGTTTAATATTATATATGTACTACCCTTGTGGTAGGAAAAACGATTCTTTGTTCTCCCTCGATTTATCATGTTTCACAGGCCTCGTGAAACATGATTAATCTCGAGGTAAACGGAGAAACGTGTTTCCCTACCACAAGTGGGATACATTTATAATACAACACGTCATTATAGTAAAGGACCTTGTTAACAAACGCATTGTTACGTCAAATTTCTTTGTTATCTAACACGCCATTAGGTCACACTACCTATCAACTACGTCATATTACTTTTTAGTTCAACGCCATATGCATTTACTGGTGTTTGTATATTGTAATATTTACAACGTTTTGGACAATACAAATGTATGATACCATACACATTTTTCACGCCATGGGTTTTTAGATATCAAGAGAAAATAAAGACATTTCCCTTATCAATAATAGTCAGCTCCACTAGAACGCAATGTAATTAAAACCCTAAAATAGCCACGAAAGCGCATTGTATTTGGCCCACCAATCCATCAGGATAACCTGGCTAACCATTCATGTCCATCGCCGTCACTAGTTAATCAATGTTAGTAGCGACATCTAACGTAACAGTGTGTACACACGGCCTAATGAGTAAGTCTGATATCAATTAATACTAAATTACCTTAATTGAATGGTTTGCTGATGGACAGAAACATTATACATATACCTACCGTCGCAATCTTATGTGATTAAAACCTAGTGAACGATATGAATCTAAGACTGGACCTGTGCAAAATCAACGATTATGCATTTGTCTATGCTACTGTAAGCTACATAATACTTATCAAACACTTTATTAAACAGCTCAGATATGCCTGTCCATGTCATAGCCTATTAAACAGCTCAGATATGCCTGTACATGTCATAGCCTATTAAACAGCTCAGATATACCTGTCCATGTCATAGCCTATTAAACAGCTCAGATATGCCTATCCATGTCATAGCCTATTAAACAGCTCAGACATGCCTGTCCATGTCATAGCCTATTAAACAGCTCAGATATGCCTGTACATGTCATAGCCTATTAAACAGCTCAGATATGCCTGTCCATGTCATAGCCTGTCTTATCAGCCATCGTCCTACGATATCGCCAGCTCCCGGATTTATCAGGCCGAAATCGGGTCATATGCGAGCTAAACCAAAGTCCGTGTCCGAGTTGTGATTTCGTTTCGAAATTTGAAAATCTTTTATTTTTGTCGTATTCGAAGAATTATGGAGATCAACTATGTAAGAAACAAATGAAATTACCAGAAAAGAAAATGAAATCGGAAAGGAATTTGATGATATAGGGATGTTCGTCGAAAGTATGGAAAATGACACGAGAAGAGAAAATAATGAATGTATGAAACGCTATAAATGTGTTATAAAAATGTTATCTTCATCCCACGGGCCTGATACAGGTAGCTCGGCTCAATTAGGAGTTTGATATAAACAGTCATAAAATACATATAACCATAATTAAACGAAACTGCTATATATAACCAATAAGTAATGCTGCCATGATATCTGATACCATGCCTCAAGCACACATTCACAAAAGCACACATATACTACAAACATGGAGGCACGTCCTTTTATGACCTTAGCTGTTAAAAGGAGGTAAAACTAATAAATTTTAAACCAATCATGTCATATATCTGTCTCATCAAACATAATACTGGTACTGTAGTATGACTTTTTATCTAACATTGGTATTGTACCGCTCTATCTAATACTGGTACATGTAGTGTGGCATTTTATCTAATACTGGTAGTGTGACGCTTTACCTTATACTGGTAGTGTGACACTTTATCTAATACTGGTAGTGTGACACTTTACCTAATACTGGTAGTGTGACACTTTATCTAATATTGGCAGTGCGACGCTTTACCTTATACTGGAAGTGTGACGCTTTACCTTATACTGGTAGTGTGACACTTTACCATATACCGGTAGTGTGACACTTTACCTAATATTGGCAGTGTGACGCTTTACCTTATACTGGTAGTGTGACGCATAACCTAATACTGGTAATGTGACACTTTACCTAATACTGGAAGTGTGACACTTTACCTAATACTGGTAGTGTGACGCTTAACCTAATACTGGTAGTGTGAAACTTTACCTAATACTGGTAGTGTGACACTTTACCTTATACCGGTAGTGTGACACTTTACCTTATACCGGTAGTGTGACACTTTATCTAATACTGGTAGTATGACGCTTTACCTAATACTGGTAGTGTGACACTTTACCTAATATTGTCAGTGTGACGCTTAACATAATAATAGTAATGTGACGCATTACCTAATACTGGTAATGTGACACTTTACCTAAAACTGGTAGTGTGACACTTTACGTAATACTGACAGTTTGACACTTTACCTTATACTGGTAGTGTGACGCTTTACCTAATACTGGAAGTGTGACGCTTTACCTAGTACTGGCAGTGTGACGCTATATCTAATACTCGCATTGTGACGCTTTGCCTAATACTGGTAGTGTGACGTTATATCTAATACTCGCATTGGGACGCTTTACTTTGTAATGGTAGTGTGACACTTTACCTCATACTGGCAGTGTGACGCTTTACCTATTACTGGTAGGGTGACACTTTACCTAATATTGGCAGTGTGACTCTTTACCTAATAATAGTAATGTGACGCATTA